GCACGGACACCCGATTCACGTCTAATAAGTTTCTTTCTAACTAATTCACACAAGGTAAATTCGACGTGTAAATACGCGTGAACCACTTCCAAATATTGAGAATAACGCGTGTAGCAACAAAGTGTCAGAGAACTTTATCATAGTCCCAGAAAATATAGAAAAAAAAGTGAAATCTGATCAAATACTGTACTATATTTGTTGAAAACGTAAATTCATGTAAATATGAATTTTACCTAGAAGGAGTTAAACGGTAGAAAAAGTAGGAAGAACTATACCGAAAAGATATTATTAATTTTTTGATGTTTGTATTCTTTAACTCTGAAGAACAAAAATTCATGTATTATTCCATTTGAAAAATAATAGGTCAAGCAATACGCAATTTTGAAACACGAAAAAACTTGGAGAAACATTTGGTAACAAGCCGCGACTTTTTCAAAATAATGGAACATCAACAAAAAGTTCCCCGTTGTTGCTTCAGCGAGGACGCAGCTTAATAGCTCCGAAAGAAATAAACTGTAACCTTTTTTTATTCTCACAAGTCACCCTGTATAATAAATCTACACAATTACAGAGATTGAAAATTCTCACCACCCCTTGGAGAGATACTCAGCAAAGAAACGCAGACATGTCGTCGGTGGCGAATGGAGTGGTTCGACGTAGCTTCATCGCAGACCAAGACTTAAACCTAACCAAGGAACAACAAGAATTGACCAAGGAACAAACGGAAGTGATGATCCAATCCAGGGAAGGTGTTAACGGAGATCCACCTCCAGAGCCAGTCTAGGACAGTGCGGTTGTGATTTTGCACGGTGCCCGGTTCCAAGTATATCTTTGCTAATATTCCATCGTTGGAATGTAGTTTTACGCGAAAGTATTTGTATTGGATCACAAGGATTTCGAACGCACTCACTTAGATGTTACGATAAACCCTCCCCATTGTTCTTTGCTCCCTTCTGAATGACAGACTTTGAAATTTTTGCGCGCTGAATTTAACGCGTCGCGATTTAATGACGAAACATTTTCAAATGAAATATCGTCGTGGATCGCAGTGTGTTATGGCTTAACGAGTCTTCAGATGTTCTCACCCTCCCCACCCTTCCTCGGCACTAACCTTTTTATGCGTTATTATCTCTTTTGTTACAAAGTTGAGAAATCTGCAGTAAGAATATTTAGGTCTCTCTAAGAAGAATATTTCTTTTTGAGATAAGTAGGAAGAATTTACTTATATGTATGTATAGGAAACTGAACGAAAATTTCCCATTGCTTGATTTAATTGTTTATGAAATTTTCTTAAAAAGGGAAACCTTTTTTTTTCAAAGGCAGCTCTTTCCTCTATTACAAATATAGAACCATTTACAATTGTTAAAATCACTACCATCATGTGCTCGTGATCACTCACTTTAAATCAGATTATTCACGTTCGTTACTCATTCTTTTGGAAGAATATAAATATACATACACGTCAAAGTGTACTCATGTGATTTTTATTTCGCGTAACGGCTTTCTTTTCGAAATCATGCCGAAACTAATTTACACAAAATCACACTTTTCTACACTACTTAACTGCTACAAACAGAAGTTTAATGATTTACAATAGTACAATGTTATTACGAATATTAAAATACTATTTAATAATATACTGTAGTTTAAAAATAAAATGATAAGCAACATTATGTTTATAATAGACTTACAAAATCAGTGTCGGTGCAACAACAAGAATCTAAAGTAAAAGTAGGTTTCATTTCAAATGTATATTTTCTAATTAACAACATTTTTTTACTATAATCAAATCAAATATTTCAGTTCTTCTCTATATCCTTCCAGGGAACAAAAGGAGAATTTAACGTGTCTATCAAGTAAGATTTTAAATTGGATTTTGAAATATTGTTCTGCTAAATAAGGTTAGCAAGACAGTTGGGTGATAAATTGAAAGAATAAGCTATTTCCCTTTTACGGCCTTTATAGAATCGTAAAAAGATGTTTTACACAGTTTTGACTTTTCTGATATAATACGTTTCTGCTTTGAAAATTTCCTGAAGTGTTCGAAGGAACACGTCGCAAGTGGTCCAACTTGTAAGTATTATAGATGTTATGGAATTTTCTAGGTAAATTTGTTAAATACATAGATTATTAATGTTACGTAATTTAGTAGGTAATCTTATGTTAGTACGTAAGGCATTCCTTATTTTGAATAAGAAAATCTCCTTGGACAGCAGCTTTAACTTTTCATGAAACTTAATGCTTCCTTAGAAGCAAAAATGCAGAAATGTTAAACCGTAATGATATAAACATTCAATCTATAAAATACTACGAAATAACTACAGATAATCCCACAAGAACAAATAAACAAGAAGAAACATTATGTATAGTAGCGATTACATATACATTTTCCGCTATTCAAGGCCATCAAGTACACATATATGTACGTAAAGTATACTCCATCCGCGAAGATGTTGATCTTATTTTTTCTCAAGGAACAGTATTTCAACTTTTCTTTTACCCCGAAAGACAGTGTTAACCCTTTGAAAGTGCAAGACAATATAGCATATTTGTTGAATATTTACGTTTAAACATAACAAATAAAAATTTGTATATGTACTTCTTTCCTTCAGTGATCAGTAGATTTAGCAGGTAATTAAAATACTTCTAATACTATAAGTACTATATCTGTGTATATCTTTTTGTACACGATAACAGAACAATATTCCTGAAACTGATTGAAAATCGAACGAATTTATACTACTCAATCAAACGAATACAGGTGAACATATTTTTAAACATAAACTAATATACATATGTACAAATTTTATTTACCATATCTTCAACCACAATCGCTCAAAGAGAAACGCGCAAAATAAAACACTACTTTCCTCTTTACCACAAAGGGTTAGCACGAGTTTTAAATGATACACATTAAGCATTAATACATCCGATTGTTTTTGTTTAGTTGTTCGTATGCTCTTACATCGTCCGGTTGAGCCGGACGCGTATGCTGTGTAGACTATAAGCAAATTGTAACCACCAAGCAGGTGTGAAACGTTACATTAAAGGGTAGTGCATTATTACAGTTCAAATGTTATCGATATGACACGCACTCCTTGTCAACAAGCAGTCGCATTTAATCGATAATATATTTAGTACAGTTCAATTCTCGTGTAAGCAATGTCTTGCAGGGAAATAAGGGAAACGGTGAAAGTTTTCGATTGAAATGAAAATGTTGATTTTAGAAACATGTTACATATAATGTGACAACCGTAAATTACGTTCAAACAATAACACTGCGGTGCATAATAACTGTCTCCAATTTTTAAATCTAATCTTTCCTTTCCACTTGGTATTATTTTCTACTAATTTTCATACGCTTACTAAAATGTTAAATTTAACAGTATTACAATGAAGATCCAAGTATTACGATGCAATTAAATTGATATTACAATTACTTCGTTATTCTATAATATACACGTATAAATCTCTTTCGATTCAATATTTACGTTTCCTCAGGTAGAACAATCATTCTGTACATTTATTCTTCCAAAATAGTACCTTTCACGATTTCGTTCGTATTCTTCCTTGACAATGTTATTATGCTTGGGAAGAGCATCAAACTTAATACCACAGTATTATGTCTTATATGTAACGTATAAATAATTTTGCAAAGTAATGTTTGCGAGACTACTTTTCTCTTGTTTATGGTAGCTTTCGCGTGACCTTTGTGATACATTTGTATTGACAGGAAAGATGTTTCATTTGTAAAATAGCAATTATCTATCTCCTGAACTGCGAGAATTAACGATATCGTAAATAGTTGAATTAGACGTTTAAGTATTTGAAAAACTATCATCGTAAACCTGTTAGAAAATATATTCTATGTGCAGATACACATATGTGTACCATATAGTTTATAGTTATTGTTATTAACTGCAACGGTACATATGTATGTATAATTATGCGTATAGATATGTATATCTGTACATACATATGCGACGGATACCGTCAAAAATAAAACATCTATATGTCTCTTTTAACTGTAAAAATTAAACAAATTGTTCTGGATATGATTCAAAGACTTTCGGAAATGAATCGGATTAAAAAGCAATTTTTTTTTCAAGAACCTCAATTCTAGTTTAGCAATCGTTTTGGAAACGATTCTGAACATTCTCTTAGAACTATTTAAACTAACAAAGTTATTCATTCTAAAAGTTAGATTAAGGATATAGGAATTTAAGCATAGATCGTTTAAAATAGTCTTTAATTTTTCTGTACGCGCGCAATGTGGTCTGATTAGTTATTTTTTCAAACCGCATCTTAAAAACACCTGAAAATTTTGCCTACAGATTATTGTAAAAATACTACAAAATAGAAGTTTTATAATACTAACAGAAAGTATAGGTGAAGGAATATTTCGTTTCTACTCTGCAGTTTATAGGTACATAAATTCTAACACTTTGCATTACGTGATACGTTGTCACGTTTTATGTCTACTTATAGTCAACTCTGAGGATTTTTAGGTAACGCTTAGTAAAACACAATGCTTTAAAAAAACAAAGCGAAGCAGATATCCGAAAAGGTATTTTTCATTAACGAAAGCATATGTGTAAACTGAGTTAACAGCCGTGTATCTTGAACTAAATCCAAATTTAAAATCTGTTCAGACAGTAATACTTTCTTCGTAAGAAAAGGTGTAAAGTAACAATGTGGAGAATATTTTCCCATAAGTAGTTTAAAACAAGTCATCTGCTTAAATAATTGTTGATAATATACAAAGAATGTATGTATTCCATAACTTTAGTTATTACGTAGCAAATAGTTTACATTTTTATCATTTTTCGTGTGACAAATAATATTCTGCTGAGACAGAATTTAAGCATTATATCAACATTGCTGATAGTTGGAGTACAAATAGGTAAACAATTGTTACAAACTGTACAATTGAAATAATTTAAAGATCTAGAAAAATAAAGAAATTTTCAAGACGATTAGTAGAATTGAGATCTTGAAAGAAAATTCTTTTGTCATCCTATTCGTGGTTCGAAAGCGTGCCAATCGTGTCTTCGACATTTTTCAGGTTTTCGGTAACCGAAAAAATTATCCTAATGTTCCGTTTAAGATGAAGTATCCTATATAATTGTATGTTATATTTTATACATCGCATCCGAGTTGCGACCGCAGCCATAGGTAACAGCTCGGGCTTTGTTAACATAATAAATAAATAAATACTCACAGAAACTCAACGACCATCTCATAAAAGAAATGCAATATTCTTTCATTTTCTAGCTGTACCTACTAACATTCGATATTCGCGTTAAAATACGTAAGTGTCGTCACAGTATTCGTATTTCAGATTGAACAGTCGAGACTTGGAAAGATTAATGAACATTATTTGGACTCTATTAACACATTCGCAGCCGGCAATTTTTTCACTTTTTTAATACTAAAAGCCGGTTAAAATAAAGAAATCCAAAAGATGGTTACTCCAGTCTTCTGTCGTTAAGACAAGAATAAAAATGATAAAATTTGATTTCAAAAAAATTAAATGCTCAAAATCGTTAAATATGATAACTCAGCGGCAACCAAAGAAAGCTTACGGAATGACGTGAATTTATTCAACGCCACAGCGGTTCTCCCATGAGATAAAATAAATTTCAAACAATGTAATGATATTTCTTCAAATCTTCAAAACTTTAGAAAATTGCAAAATAAAAGTTCATTCATAATTTTCTAATAGTAGATACGAATAGCTTTCTGTATTAAAAAGTTATTATTTACAAAGCTCAAACTCTCCTGAGCAAACAGAAAGGAAAATCATGTTCGTTGGATTAATAGTTTCGTAGATGAAGGTTTATTCACGCTGTCAGGACACGTCAAAATCGGAAAAATTAACAGCATAACACTTTCTGCTCAGAATTATCGTTCCAATCAACTGTTTATTCACCCGTATGAGAGCAACCTCTATAAGGATGGATATACCTGTTAAGCTGATTGAAAATTTCTGTTGCCAGTTCTCGTGTACACCTTTGCAGCTCCATTCAATAGTTTCCATAAATAACAAAAATTTCAAAGGCACGCTTATTCTAATTTTCGAAATATGGACTATAAAAAACGGTGCAATATTTTTGAAAAAGTTATTTGGTTTTAGTTTACTTAATAAACATCTTCTACAATAAAGTGCATTAGCATTATATTTTGTATAACTGCAAGATGGGGAAACCTGAAACGTAGGCAGCTAAGCATTTGTATCGGGACTTTGAAACAAATACTGTATTTTTAGGCATGGGGTAAAAGTCGTTCAAAAAATTTCGATTAAAGAATTTTAGTCTTGGCAATGAAGCATCTACTGGCAGTAACCGACAGTAGACCAACTATTGTTCCTAATTATGTTAATTGGACTAAGTTGGTATAACATAATTAACAGTAGTGGACAATATTTATATATTGGTCTAGATCAATAGAGTAATTAAGCAAATATAATTTTAGCAAGTAGAAAAGGAGCAGTATTCTACCATGACAAAGCCGAGTTCTTACGTATCTTTAAGGCCTTAATACAAGTTGAATAAAATAGGGTAAAGAATATGTAACCTCTCAACTTCACATCGACTGCCATGTAATAAAATTCTTTGACAGTTTGGTTTTGTTTCAATGGATGAATATTTTAATCGCAAGAATTAGAAATTTTACATAAATAGGATAAATAAATTTCTAGTTACTTAGGAGACACTTATAAGTAACAATAAGTATTATATCACAAATTAATCGATAAAAGTTTCATTGGAAAAACCTTGGAAACCTTTACATTCTTTGGAAATAAAGCGATAGAACTTTCTGATCAACCTAAGTAGTATATTATATATTTTCAAACTATAGAATTCTATACTGCGTATACGATTATACGGTATCTTGTCTTATACTTTATTTGTAATTTCATTGCTACATTTAGTTTTAATTTCAACCACTATTAATGTTGTAATCTTATGCTATGCTCAATCGATAACGTTGGAAGCGACACAAAAATGATAAGGGAGCTCAAGAACCCCCGTGACGTAGGTAAAAAAGTCATTGGGTGATAAATCTATTCTGTATTTCGTCTACGGTTTTGGGGACGAGAAAACCCTTACCATATCCGTGTCGCTACCAACATTACCGATTCAGTATAGAATAAGATTACAACTACTGACGAGGTACAGGATAGACTTTGCACCCAATGTTCTGAAATACCGGTCGTGTAAAAAACCAGAGATTTTGTTATGCCCCCTACGATATGAAGCGGTGAGTTTACGAATTACATACAATCCAACCATCAAAGATGGTAAAGTCAATAAATGTAAAAAATCCTCTTCTATTAAATTTGCATATAAAAATACATACATATATTGGATTGCGAGGATAGAATTGTTCACGATCTTCTAACAGCAGTAGAACACGCGCATGTGATGAATCGTTTACTAATAAACAATTACGTTAGTTCCTTATTTGTAATTTCATAGTTTCATTTAGTTTTAATTACAACCACTACCAATGTAATCTTATTCTATGCAGAATCAGTAATGTTGATAGCAACACAAAAATGGTAAGGGCCTTCTCGACCCCAAAACTTCGGACAAACAATCCCATAAGATGTTACGTCTATCCTGTATCTTGCCTGTGATACCACAGGCGAATCTAACGTCTGTGTATGTATATTGTTTCTGTATTGTCAATACACCCTTGGATCCCAAAACGCAAATGCGTGTGACTGAATCTATTCAGATTTAATCTGTTCAGATTCCATCTATTCTCCTTCATTATTTAATTAACAAATGCCAAGTGTTCTTGATTTCAAATCCTACTACTAATAGCGCAGTGATATAATACCAGTCCCAATCGATACAGTAGGATGATGGTAACGGGGTTCCGGAACCCCGGAGTCGTGTGACAAAAAAATACATTGGATGAGTGGTCTACTCTATATCTCGTCTATGATTATATTCGGTGCTCGCAACACTGTTGCCTCTCTTCTTGAGCGGGCTTCCCAACCGCACCAACTTCAGCTCATTCGAAATCGTACGTTCCCGGGCAGAGTCGACTCTCCTGTTTGAAAAAGAGATATAAAACAGAACAAGCCTGCGTGGCTTTTTCAGACAGCTTTCGCCTCGACATTCGTCCTTAGTCTCAGAAGAAACCACGCAAAACCCCTGAACAAGGCATTTGAACCTCCGCAATACCCTCTAATTTCGCGTCCTTGCTCCTACTCTTGACTCTTGAGCTTTGACTGTTTCCTTCTTGCTGTTTTCACGGGTTCGTCCCTACGGTCTCCTCCGCCAAAGAAATCCTTTCCAGACACACCTCTATCCACTGAGGATCATTCCACGATGGCATAGGGTCCCGATGCGCGTCTCGTTTAGGATCTGGTCCAAGAGTCACATCCTTCTCGAGAAGAGTGTAACTTCTCCAGTGTGAGGGTACATCTTCTCAAAAATACGAAGACCCTCATCCGGGCTTAACCCGGCGCGCAAAGCAATCGTCACACCCGTGGGTGGAAAAGATCTTCAACAGAAAGAGAAGGAACTCATCCTCGCCTTCTACGATGAAACGTCCTCTTCTGAAGCAAAGACAGACAGCCAAATTCTCCTTACTTCTGGTCCCGGAAGTCTGACTCTCAATTGCCTTTGATTTCACATTTCTGCACTGGATTCTAATTTCCCTCTGTACAGATAAATTAAAATTTTCCGAGGGGTAAGCCACCCTCGCTTTTCTTAGCTTTTCCTCTTGACTCTTGATGTTTCTTGAAAGCTTCTTTCTTCAAATTCTTCTTTAGCTTATTTCTTTAAATTCTTCCCGCTAAGGAAGAGACTCGACTCTCGTATTTCGCTAAGCACCACCTTGCACTTCCTCCTCAGCAAAAGTTATATACGATAAATAATATTGTTGATTTTTTCTATAATTCTGTAAGGACGTTCCCAATCCGACTGCAGCTTCGGGTATTTTTCTTTAACTCTTCGCGGTTGGGACAACCAGACCTGCTCCCCGGATTAGGAGCTGCTGCAGTTTTCCAGACGATACCGAATCTTTTTCATCCTTTCCTTGATCCATGACGAGTATTCCTGTACGACATCTTATCCCTCTCCTTCAGGAGGCAATCTTCTCCTCTGTTGTATGGACAGCCGAATTCCTGCCCATACAGTACCATTGATGGCATCACTTGGGTTGTCTCGTGCTGTAAGGACCGGTACGTCATCAGGAAAAGAGGGATGTATATTGTAACGAACATTGCCAAATACTGCAACAATATTTGCAGCAGTATTCTCAGCAGTTTTATTAATTGCTGGAACACAGAGGACTCAAAACTTCGTCCCTAATCAGAATGAATTTCCAAGGACACCCTATGACGGCAAACAATGTTTTCTATAAAAGCCTTGGCGGTCGTGACTGTTTGCTGGTTTGGTATCACAATTACTTCTGACCACTTCGAGAAGTAATCCGCTAGAACCAGCATATACATATTTCCGACCCGGTACCTAGGGAGCAGAACCACAATATCAAGCACAACCCTCTCAAATGGCGCACCGACATTATATATACAACTTCAGAGTCCACGCTCCTTTCTTTCGCGGTCCCTTCTGACTCTTTGTCTTCAAAACGGCTGCCGTGCTTGCAGCCTTCCTCGGCACACAATCTTCTAGAAAATCCATCAGCGTTTCCGTGTGTCTTCCCCTCACGATGGCGAATCTCAAAATCGTACTCTTGTCCAGCGTGTGACCTGTCCTTCCGGATTTTGAAAAGACAGCAACCATCGGAACGCTGCATGATCCGTTTTTAATCCAATTATTCCTTCCAGGTCCTATAATTTTTCTCCGCTTTTCTTAATGTTTTGGAGAAATAGGCGATGACTTTTTCTTGTCTTTCTTGATCGTCTGATCGTTCCTATAGCAAAATTAGAAACGTTCGTGTCCAGAATAAAATCTTTATTCGAATCCGAATAGACTAACACAGCAGCTTCTGTCAAGCGCCCCTTCAGCTCTACCAATGTTAGGCGCCGGTAATTTTGAAAAGGAACATAATTTAGACTCGAAAGGTTCCGCTTTGCCGAAACCAACTCTCTAAAGTTTTCATGCTGGGCAGCGGGAAAAGTGGTGAGGCCTTGCCGGGCCCTCCAAGGAGGCGATCAAGGCCGTAGCTTTTCTCGCGTCGCAAATTCTCCTTTTTATCCTTTTTATCGATTACAACACAATAACAAAAAAAAACGCGATACCGTTTAAGAAATACTAGGTCACTTCGATGCCGTGGAAAATATAAGCATCCAAAAAGTAAAATGTTTATATCTTATAAGCCCCACCAAACGCAATACATTTTATATAAATTCGTTTTTCTTAAAATTAATAAATAACAATTCGTTTCAGATAATAATTGTTTCAAAATCAATAAAAAGTTTGAAATCATAAAAGGATATTTATAAGTATATTTTATTTTCACGGTAATGATAATCACAAGAATACAATCCTGAGAAAGTAACATTTTAACCAAGTATTTGTATGTGATATTATTTATAATACATAATGGTGATAATAATTAGGTATAATACATGATGAATTTTACAAGAAAAAAAAATTGTTTAATACATAAAAAATTTATTATTTTGTGTAAATCTAAAAAGTAAGAAGTTAGGAGTTGTTTATCAAAGGTATGGGCAAAATTACTTTTTCAGTTTTCTATCTGAGTTAAAGTAATATAAAATTAAATAGATACATACAGCACATTGAAATTGATTGTTTGAAATTAAATTTCACATTTTTTATTCTGCTCAATTAACACTTAGATTTTGTAGCCTAGAGCTCACAGAGTTGCTTATTTGTTCTTTATCTGCGTCGCTTATTTTCGCACTTGGTGTTATATTTTGCCCTAATCTAGTGCACGCTTTTTTGTGCATAAACCAATGGAGTCTTTGACATTCTCTGTCACAATATTGCACTGCTTTACATTTGCTACACTTTTTGTTAGCTTTATCTTCTCCACATGTAATGCAAATCTGCGCATTGTCTGAGAAGGCTCTTTGACCATTAATAGCAGCTGATACTACTGATATAGCAGATGGTGGATCACTAGCTGCAAGAGTTGCTACCATTTGTCGAAAGATTGTACTCTCTCTATATAGAAACTCTCTTACACTTTCTCGCAGAAAAGCTTCTTGATATTCTGGTATACCATCATTTTTGCTACACTTCAAAAATTTTCTTATTAAACCTTCTATAGTATCTGATTTTTTATCGTCCCCTTCTTCATTTATTTTTTCGATTTTCTCTGCCTTCATTGCTTCTTGTCTTTTTTGAAACTTGATCACTTCAGCTACAACACAACTAAGATAATGATATTTAAATGCCATCACTTCATTTGTTTCTGCACCTCTCGTCATTTCCTTATGGCGCATGGATTCTAAAACTTTTTGTACCTGAAAATTGGAAAAAGTATGTAACATTTGTTTGAAAATTTTTGTTGTTATTATACACAAGCTTTACCTTAGCAGCATTTTCTAAAAGACCAGGACATCTTTGTAAATTCATAGCTACACGTATAGGATGCACATTAACTTGCATTATAAATTTATGAAAAGAATCTGCTAAATGTGGTGGAAGCATTGATTCAATCTGTAAACCTTGAGGTTTTACATAATAATCTATGTCAGCCTTTGGAATAAAATTATTGATAGTTGCTACGCAATTGTGATTGCCTACAAAGGCAGCCATCTGAGCTGGAGTTCTTCCTACACTGTTTGTTGCTGTCAGACGAGCTCCATGAGACATTAAAAGGTGACAAAGTTCAGCATTTCCACTAAGAGCTGAAAAATGAAGAGCTGTGTATGCATGTTCATGTTGACATGCATTTACATCTGCTCCCTATAATAAAGTATTTTAATTATTGAAATCATTTATATAATTTTTCTAAAATAGTAGACTATATATTTTTTAGATATAGTTTGAAATAACTCTATGTATCTATATATCTGAAGCACATTAAATAAAAAAATTTTTCATAAGTATTTAATAAAAACCTTCACAGTATATAAACATATTTTCATTTTTTCTTTCTGTTATGACTTACTCTTTCTAAAAATTGAAATAAATGCTTATTTGTATGTTTATGTCGCTAATTCATTATACAAGTAAAAAAAAAAATCAGAAATATATGTAGAAAATACGTTTTCAAAAAATAATTACAATTACTAAAATTATAAACACTTTTTAAATCATGTTTGATGGTTGTATGTATTGTTAAAAAGTTAACCTACCTGATCTAGGAGCATCTGTACTATTTCTCTGTTTCCTTTATAACAAGCATGTTGAAGTGGACTCATACCATTCTCATCTACAAAATCCATTTTAATTTTATTCGCTGCCAACAGCGTTTTGAGCTCAAACACTTCATTATTACTGATTTTCGTAAAAATTTGCTTTTGTACGTCGGTTAGAGCCTCTGCGACAGGCGCCATTTTTCCCACTATCGATCAGCATAACGAGAAATCGAGAACTACAGAATTGTCGAGAATATACAAAAGGAAACTATTTTATCGACGTTTGATTACAGGGCTTGAAACTCTTTACCCCAAGCACAAACAAGGTATGTACAGAGCAAACCTTTTTGTCCCACTACTACCACAGAAGACGTACAAGATAGACCTAACATCTTATAGGATTTTTTGTCCGGGGCTTTGGGGCCGAGAAGACCCTTACCATTTTCGTGTCCAACGTTCTGAAATACCGATCGTATAAAAAACCAGAGTTTTTGTTATGTCCTCTACGATATGATGCGGTGAGTTTATAAATTACATACAATACAACCATCAAAAATGGTAAAGTCAACAGATGTAAAAAATACTTTTACTAATTCCACTTTTATTAAATTTGCATATAAAGATACATACATATATTAGATTGCTTAGGTAGAATTGTTCACGATCTTTTAGCAGCAGTAGACACGCGCATGTGATGAATCGTCTACTAATAAACAATTACGTTACTCTTTTATTTGTAATTTCATAGTTCCAGTTTCAACCACTACTAATATTGTAATCTTATTCTGTGCTTAATCGGTAACGTTGGTAGCGACACGAAAATGGTAAGAGTCTTCTCGACCCCAAAGCCCCGGACAAAAAGTCCCATAAGATGCTACGTTTATCTTGTACGTCGTCTGTGCCTGTACCTCGTCTATGGTGATAGGTTTCTTCTGTATTTACCTCGACTCACTGTGATAAAACTTGCGATTTATTTCACAATCGGTATGTCAGAATATGTGACACAAAGTCTCATAAAGTGATAAGTGTATTCTGTATCCCGTTTGAGATATAAGAATGCTTTTAAATTTCTGTCTCCATATTACCAAAAATGGGCAATCTATAATTTAGTATCAAAGTATAATCCTTGTGTAATGTATAACTTTCTTAATAAAATGCCTAATAGTTATATTTAAAAGGTTGCGAACATAAGAAAATGGCTTCCATGCATATTGATTATCCGAATTATACCATCAAATTTGATTTTATAATAGAAAAATTACTCATATTGACGAAGAAAAGGTACAATGAAACAAACTTGATCAATAATTACCTCTGCGAGCTTAACGATCTTGATTATCGATATGTCACAATTTCCAATAATGATGTAAGTTTGTTGAAAATTTAATTATTTTATTTATTTCTTGATATACAATATTTATTACAATATGTGTTCAATAATTATATTAATGTAATAATGTTAATTTAAAACAGAATCCTAAAACTTATCTCTTTATTGAAATTAATTTGAGTATTTTATTGTTTCACTTTTTAATAATGTTTTAGGCAGTACAATTGCTTATTAAGCAGTTGTGTACTATTATTATACCTGCAGAAACAACTTTGGTTCAAAATCATTGTAAACTTTTAACCAATCTAATTCAAAATAATGTTAAATTTGAGGAAGAAACATTTACATTTTCTAAACGATGGATCATAAAAGTTTTCAAATTTGCTTCACCACTTGTACATAATAATGTCATTTTATCTTTAAAAAGTATTTTAATGAATGAACAATTTGATGACATGAATCATGTGAGCATAAACATTTTTTAAATATTTTATAATACATTATAATGGTTATAAAGTTGTGAATGTCATAACGTTTAAAATAGTACATATTTACAGTATTTACAATTATTACTTGAAGATGATAAATTGTTACAAAAATACTTAAATCCATGTAATACACAGTGGTCTGAAATTCATTATCATGCAATCAACTGCTTAGAAGGAATTTTAATAAGGAATTATAATGGCACTTCTATAGCAAAAGAATTGATATGCATGATTAAAGATATCGCATTACATATTGTTTCATCTTCTTCATATGTAAATGACAGTAAATTTTATCATACTAAAGTAAGTAATAAATTTGTTGTATAAAATAAATTGTACCAAATTCATTATTATTACATATTATGTTAATGAATTAAATTTTTAGATTTTATATTCATGCTTACATATTTTACATATTATAATGGCTAATAAGTTATTACCACATTCCATTGACTTTATGGGTGAAATTTTGGGAGTGGTACAAGCATTTTTATTTTATGGTATTAAAGATTATTCACCTGTAAAACCACAACTTCTTCGTCCAGCAGTAATGAATCTTCCAGAACAAGTTCATGTCATTCCCAAGTGTAAAAATTTGAAAAATCACAAAGCAAAATTAAAAAAACAATCTACTAAAAAGGTTGCTACTGAAATAAAGAGTAATGTAACAGAATGCAAAGGAGTTAATATGTATTCAAGTGATTCAGATACTTCAGATACTGAAAGTAGTAATTCCACTCTTATGGATTCTAAAGTAAGACTAGAAACTATACACTTACTGCAAGCACTTGTTGAAAATTCACAAAGTCGTGAAATATTTGGATTTTGGCCACAAATTGTTGCCACTGGATCGCGAAATGATGCTCGAGTATTAACTAGAATTCTCTTAAAAGAACCTGTATCTAAAGTAAAACAACACATACTGAGTACACTAACAGAATTACTTATAAATGCTAAACCTTTCTTAATGCATGCAGAGGATGTTCATCATACTTCTTTTATTACTTTTTTTGGTACAGTTTGTTTAATGATTAAAGAATTACATTTTACTTTATCTTTGATTTTAAATGGTGAAACAAATGTAGCAGTTTTGACTCATGGTTTAAAATGTGCTGCTGCTCTAATTCAAGGCACACCATATATCCGTTTACAAACAGGACTTGCTACAAAATTGATGAGAAATTGTAGACCACATATATTTCACAAAGGTATTTGCATTATTACTATATGATTTTCCAAAAGAAAATATTTTACCCTTTGTATTTTATGTAGATCCAACAGTTCGTGTTGCTGCACTGTCAGCATTTGAAGCTATTACATCTTGTGATCCAGTAACTCCAGAGATACTTAAAATACTGGCAAAACAATCAACTGCAAATATAGAATCAGATAAAATGCATCTACATGTTTCAATCACTGATAATGTGGAAAAAGAAGAAGAAGAAGAAATAGATATTGAAGATCTTAAGAATAATATGATGAATGAATATGACAACAAATTACTGAAAGAAGCAAATATATGTTTCTTAGTCCATATTTGTTTAGAAAATATATCAAATAAAGTATAGTTACATTTAATTTTTAAATATTTGCTTAAAAGCCAAATATTAATTTTGGAAACTAAATGATGGTTTATTTGATTATAGATAATGAGTACACCTGTTCGTCTTCAATCCTTAAAACTAATTGGTAGAATGGCATTCAGTACTGGAAATCTTATATTCTCACATTTAGAACTGATTACAACGACTTTAGTAGAAGTCGTACAAGATTTTGAAATACAAGTAATATTACATGCATGTCGGGCTCTAGAAATCATGGCTGGTTGCCTCATGAACAATGACTCAGAGAACAGCAATGCTTCAATATTTTGGAATATTATATTTGATCCCATGACACTACTTCTGCAACATCCGCAAACAATAATACGAGAAGCTGCTTATTATTAAATATTATATTTTATTGAAAATAAATGAAATGCAAAACTACCAATACATGTGGTTGCATGACAAGCCATTACTGTTATATGAAAAATGAAACTTTTACGATTTTTCAGTAGAATAACTTTTAATAAATTATTAGAATCATTCTGATCAGAATATGTTCAAGTATAGTTTGAATACTTTAAATTTTTATTCTATCATTATAATATTTTGGTACAACCCTTGCAAGTATCCTCCTAAAGAAACTATAAATTAATATACAAAATGTTATCTCTTCCAAAAAAAATTTTATTTGCGGATTGGTACATGTGTTTATATTGTTTTATTTTATAACGAAAATTTCTTTTTTCTTCAAAGGATAAATCTTATGTCTGAGGTACTTTTTAACAAATATTTGACATATAAATTTTTCTACATGCCAATATGTGTTACAGGAGTGAAAATAGACCCTAAAGATGGGGTTCTATTTTGTAATATAAAAGCTATGAAGTTTCAAAACAAATGTTTTAAGTATAGAAGTTGTTGTTAAATACGAAATTCGTTTATGTAAACAACTTTAAAAGATTCATTTATTCAAGTAGCATTTAAACTCATTTATTTAAATCAACATTCTACACTTAGGTACAGTCACTTGTTAAAATAATTTACTTTGAAATGATGTAGAAACAGATTGCTTTGAATATTAATTGTATGTTTTGAAGTAAAACAGAATTCATTTTATTACAAACAGTGTTCCTAAAAGTTATTACAGTTACTACATTGTAATTTTTAGCTAATAATAACTATTATTAATTGGTATTATTATCTAACTCAAAACTGTTTAATTTAAATCACATTTAGATTAAATTTTTCATGAGAAATCCAGCTAATACATTGCAAAGTTTGGAGAAACATATAAAACTTTCGTTTTTCAATGTAACAGTATAATCATTTTCAATGTACAACAAAGTAATAGTGTGTACTTAATCTAAAGTTAAATGATTGTATACACAAATTAATTTCAATCAGTGATGAAGATTTTCTTCATGTTGGCAAATTCATTTGATGTTCAACTAATATAATTGTACTGTAATTTTAATGTATAATATTTATAAACATTGTTTTAGAGACAGAAAGCAGTTTTAATTATCACAGTACTATTTAATGCAGTACATGATACAGAAAGTGCTGTAAGAGCTGCTGGATTACGAGCATTGGGAATGTTAGTCACTTTACCTGCGCTGAAGGAGGAAACTGGATTTTTAATGGATTTAGCTGATATAATTTGCCTAACTGCTGATGATACAAATCTTGGTGTTCGTATTAAAGGAGCATGGGCATTAGCTAATTTGTGTAATTGTCTGTCAAAAGAAAAGTTAGTTATAATCATATTAAACATTTAACTAATACTTATTATTCTATTGTGTAATATTTTTTGTTTTAAATCAGCCACTAATACTTATACTTATATCTTTTTTATATAGTTAAAGAATTTTAATTTTTGTATATATAAAACTCCTTCTTTAGCAGAAATTCTGAAGAAGTGGAACCTGTCTCATTGGAAATTTTATTACCAAAAATCTATCAAGTTTGTATTAAAGCATCTAAGGACAATGATAAAGTAAAATGCAATGCTGTTCGAACTCTTGGAAGTATTCTATATTTATGTCCCAACAAACATATATTGAATGATACATCATTAGGACTAGAAACTCTTATAAATTGTGCTATGTTAGGAAATGATATGAAAGTAATTAGAAATATTATTAAACACTTTAATCAACAATTTCACTTATTTACCATGTTTTATAACTTGGTTTGGAAAATTGTTATTTCAGTTCCTTTTTATTAGGTTTCTAATATATTTTTATTTATTGTATATTAAAGGTACGTTGGAATGCATGTCGAGCTCTAGGTTTAGTTTTAAGCAACAATCCAGATAATATATTACCACGTTCTTGGCGGGTACGTAACAACTAAAGTGAACATTTATTAATATTTTTATTATAGTTAATACAGCTTTATTGTTTTAGTAGGATCAAGTATTTCCTGCATTATGTAATTTAATATGCGATAGTCCGAACTTTAAAGTTCGTACTAACGCATCGTGGGCATTATATTCATGCAAATCATTTGGTAAATACGTTGTAATTTTGTGGAAAAGCATTATCCTAGCCTTCGAAAATTCTCAACATGTACCAAGTTACGTCGAATATCCACATCGAGACGCTCTTATTCAACAAGTAATTGAACATAACTATTACATATACTAATACAATTATATGCTGATAAATGTTATTATCATGTGTTTTTTAGTTGTGCCTTACACTTAGCCATGTGGCTGCTTATACAGAGGTATCAGATCTGCAAAATCTGTGGACAGAGATAGGTGAACATGTAGATGATATTTCTAACTATATGAAGCAGTTTCAGGTACAATGACTTAAAATATTATTCTTTATTACTAATATTTACAAAATGGAACTATAAAAAAAGATAAATTCGTAACTATTATTACCATTACTACTTTTTACAATTTTTAATCTTTAAAAATAATCTTCATTAATACAAAAATATACATTTTTTTTTCTTTATTGATTTGTTAGGAAACTACTGTGCCTGAAAAAGTGGGAGAATTAATAAAAGCCAAATCTCAATTAGAAAAATATGTGAAAAGTGCTTCATTATTAGAAGAACGAAAAATTGCACAAACATTAGCAAGCATTTTTGAACGAAATAAACGGTATGACAATATAAACGGTACTATTTTAACTTAACTTATTAAACAAAAATTAATTAATTGTACTTTGAAAGGTTGTCAGTCTTGGCAATTCAAAGATAACCTACCATAAGCGCATTTCACGATTAAAGATACTTACTGGCTGAGTACTATTATATAAAACAAAGGAATTAAATCATTGTCCATAGTAAATGTGATTGCATTGAATATGATTTCTAATTCAAATATAATGATAACATTAAGCATCGAGAGACACTGGCAAATAAACAATTAATCTACTTAAGAAAAGAAAGACATTTTCAAATAACGAAATAACTTATTAACTCTGTATCAGTTAAAACCTTGAAGGGTAATATATAATTCCTTTATTTCGTCGTGACCGATTTTGCACAAAATGTATTTGTAAACTAGATGTAAACATATACGTACAGTACATTGAAATAAAAAAAAAACATTTTTTGACAATCATAAACTTGTACATTTAAGACATAAATTATAAATAAAACTCGTTACAATTATTTTTTTTTATGAGTGCATTACGTTTTTTTTTTCTCGACGTGATCGACGCGCACAGCTGGAGCGCAATTTGAATTGTCAATAATGTATGTCTCAAAAGATAGACTGTATCTGGAAATCATCTAAGGGTTAGATGCGTGGTACTGCGATGGAAAGTTAAAACTCGGGAACGGAAATGCTTTGTTATTGTAGTCGAAAGATTTTATTCAAGAACTGTAACCACTTGAGAGTTAAGTTTAAGCCACGTAGGCTTTCTCGACAGGATGTTTGTTTCGGGACTCAGAAATGTAAGTACGCTCTTCGTTCTGTTTTATATTGTCGTATGCAACCCCACGACTCCGGCCCAATAGAAAGTTAACGCTGGCATAAAACTAGCCTCTAACCCTCGCTCCTCCAAGAAACGGTCCATCATGGATAGGACCCTTCCTTCTCCTTTTCCCCATTTTTCCACAATAGCAAATCAAGATCACCGAAAGATAAGATCCTCGCACTCCTCCGGCAAACTGTCTCAAATTTCCACAATAGCAAATCAAGATCACCGAAAGATAAGATCCTCGCACTCCTCCGGCAAACTGTCCGTTACGGACAGGATCCTTAATTTTTCTTTTCTTTTCCTTTGTCCCTCTTCACACGTTCCGCCAGGACACTGTCCATCGCGGATAAGACCCTTTTTCCCTTTTCTCCACATTCCTTAGTTTAACAATAACTCACAACCTTTTCCACCCACTTCTCGAAAAAGATGGACATTCCAGATAGGATGTTCTCTATCCAACGGGACTCCCAAAAACTATCCCCACTTAACGTCCAACTATACCACGGGAAAACACCTTATATACGGGCCTTGGA